ACACAAATAGGATACATGCTACTACTATTCGAGTTTCATAAAATTACGCAAATAGTTTGGGGGGAATTTTCACATTTTTAACAAGTTGATGTTGATGTTGTTGAGTTGGTTTTTTACATATATATATATATATATATAACTACACAAAAGAATTATTATTATATTCAATTCATTAATTATTATTAATAGGGCAATTCCAATTTCTTTTAGATTGTTTTTAGTTCAGTTTAAAAATAATATCTAAACAAATTATTATTTTATATTTTTTACAATAAAAAAATTATTTTACACAATAAAATTAGTAATAATTATAAGCAATAGTTATTTGTAACATTAATTTTACATAGGAAGATGTGTTTTTTTTGTGTAGTTATATGGTATTTAATAAAAAATAAAGATATTTATAATAAGTGAGGTTATGTTTTATTTTATTTTTTGTTTTTAGATTGGTTTGTTTGTTTTCTTTGTTTCATTTGTTCAAAGAGAAATGAAGAAAATACTTAGTAATAAAGCATTACGTTTTGTTTTCTTTACAATACTTAATCGCTAATGAAAAAAATAATTATAATAAGGAAAAAATAGGAGGGATAAAATATTAAAGAAAAAATACTATGCAGTAGTTAATTATATACAACATTATTTTGTGATTACTGGATAACCCAAATTTTGTGTAGTTTGAAGGTCTTTTTATTTTTTTTATATATATTTATAAAAAAGGTAATTTTGTATAACACCCCACATGACCTAAAAAGTCCTGGGAAATGGTTCTTAGTTTTTCTTTAAATGTATGTTGTACTCATTCGCAATGTAATTAAGGAAATAAAAATGGAATACTGAAAGATTTAGTAAGAATCAAATTTGTAATATCCTTCATTATAAATATAATCACATATGCAAGTCAAAATAGGTCTAATGGTGATCTAGTAACGTATATCACATCAAAGAGCCATCAAGACCAATTGTATTTAAATCTCAACTGTGTGCCGTTAAGTTCCAACAATTTAAGGAAAAGTCGTGTGTGTGTGTAGAAATAATCAGAAATGTCCCTCATCAAATAAGAAAAATGTTCTTTAAAAAAGTAAAAAAAGTTTTCAGTCGGTGTTGCCGATAGATACGAGGGCAGTTCGGAAAGTTCTTAGCCTAGCATAAAATGCACGGTATAAACAGGAAAAAGTTAAGTGTTTTGGAGACTTCCATCTCTGTTATGAAAACATGTTAAATTTTGTTTCGATCTGGCAACTCCTTCATAAAGAAACAGGTGTTCAAAAAAGACGAATCCACAATTTTTTACAATGGACATATTAGAAATGCGTGCTTTCATTCTAAAAAAAAATTGCGAATGCGTTTTTGTTTCTATATGAAGGATTTGCCAGATCGAAACAAAATTTAACATGTGTTCATAACAGAGATGGAAGTTTCCAAAACACTTAACTTTCTTCTCTTTATACTGTGCTTTTTGTGCTAGGATAAGAACTTAACGAACTGCCTTCGTATATACCCTCAGCCTATGGTTTACGGAGGTCTTCGGAATTAAATGCTGGTTTTATTATTCCCTTAATTTGTTACAATTTATTAAATTTTACAAGTTTATAAAATATTGCCCCTTTCTGGGGGAAGACATGATCTAGGGACTTTGTAAGGATATTAGAATCGTCTAATATTGGGTTCATAAATGTTGAAAATTTTTACCATTTTGACCAGATGGAGTGGACCAATTGGTCTCATCTTCCTACTTGATCCAGGCTTGGCAATGATTGGTTCAAATCGAATTTGGACTTAAATTATTGAAAGTGTTGATCCTTTGTGGGGAAGGTAGCAGAAGGAGTGGACCAATGGGTCCCATCATCCTACTTGATCCAGGCTTTGCAAGGTTTGGTTCAAATCGAACATTCCATTCGCCTAAGGCACATTATCAAATTTGATGAGGCACATTATCATCGAATCAAAGTGTATATACCCTCATCATTAGCCATAAGGCTGAGGATATAAAAATTTCTGATATAAAACCCCTGAACAACTAAAAAAGAACAACTGGTCATGGCAAAAAAAAAACGTTTTATTGTATTTTTTAAACCAACTCTTCTATTTGGACTTCTATAATATAAAAAATTCTGTGTTTTTACATGAAGCCCGTCTGTTCATCTGTGGCATTGGCCTTATGATCATCTATAACGATTCCTTTTGGTCTAAATGACGTTCTGGTGGTCTATTATTAGAATATTCGCCTAAGAGAAGTATTTTGGGTATTCATCAATATTAAGACCTTTTTGTTTGGTTGGAAGATTTTCTTATCTTCTATCATACTTTCTGATCATCTAAGTGAAGAACGTGTCAAATCTTAATCTTCTATAAAAGTCCGTTATAAGGAAATTTTCTAAGCATGTAGACGACGATCAGAAGATATTCCTATAAAACATCTGAACGTTCTCTTTTAGAATTTGATATTAATATAGAATTCTTCTATATTAAAAATTAGAGTTAGAACTCCAACTATTGCAAAGTATTTTCTCTACTACAAGACTTCCTTATAATACTTTATAGAGGCTAAGTATTTCCTTCTTATAGAATTTTTAATTAAGACGATTATTTTGAATAATATTATTTTAGATTTAGAACGATATTTTTATCGATATCAGCGTAAAATTCTATGACGATCTAAGCATGTCCGTCTGGCTGTACTAATCACTCTTGCCTCGAAAGGTCCCATTTTTAACTGAATTCGCTGAAATTTTGTACAATGGGTTCCTATTGGATACCAAATCTTTCCACTAAAAATTGAAATTTTCGATATTTTCGGGTTCTACAGCGCGGTTTTCAAACGAAAATGAATACATGTATTGTTAGTTTCGAAATTGAGCTATATCAGTCCTCAATTAGGCATAGCACCTCATATAATGACTACTAAATACTCGGTAATTCCTACACAATGTACCGCTTTGGGTATAACCTCCAGGAAATTTTTTTCTGCAACGACAATTTTCATTTTGAACCAGCAGTCCCCATATAAAAATCTTTTATAATAAAATAGTTATCTCTGATCTGTTCCGTGTTTTGGAGATATCGAGATATAAAAACTCTCCATTAAAAATTGTTGAAATTTGAATTTTTTAAAAGAGAAGAAAAATAATTTTCAAAATTTGGTTGTTGTTGTTTTTGGGATTAAAGAAAAGTCCTTATTTTTGATGGCGGACATGATAACTCCTCACTGGAAAATCAATCTGGAAATTCCTAGGGTGTTATAATGAGTACATGTCGGGCTCTCGTATGAACTAGGATTATTGACTTCGCTCAAAAATTAACTAAATTGTTTTTAGTTAAAAAATAAGGAAGTACTTAACCAATTGGCTTTATCCTAGATCATACGATAGCTATACACTCACAGAGAAATGTGTCAAAATTTGAGTTATTGTGCCCGCCATTCATAAAAAAACCTCTTCGAGAAAAATGCGTTAAAAGTTTAAGAATCACTCTTGCCGTCACTTGATCCTGAAAGAATAAATCGCCTATATCATCAAGAGTTGTTGAGATTTTCACTTGAAGTTTTGTAGGGACATTCTTGAATTAGTGTAGATTCAAAAAACCAAAATAAAATTTTTTGCCACCGAAAATGTCCCCTTAAATTAGACAAAATTGTATATAAGATAACCCTTTGATAATATAAAATACCTTTCGGTCTTTTTTATTTATGTAAAAAAATCGTGTCTTTGAGTCAAAGGCGAAATAAATTAACTTATATAAACATTTTGTTTGTAATGTCCAATATAATTTTCGGCCATGCTATAATATTCTGCAAGGAAACCACATTTTCATTTGTATTACGTATATTTTGGTCTTCCATAAAAAATACTCTGTGAGTTTTATAAAACAACGCCTTTCTAGACTCCCATAAGAAAACTCTTTCAGGGTTTCTTAATCATATTTACATCTATAAGAAGACCAACTATTTTATTAACGATGAATATAAATTTCATGGTCCTCCATTAAAATTGACTTTCGGACTATAAGGTCCTTTAAGAAAATCTTGACAGTACATTTTTATGAAGACCTCGTTTCATTTTTTTAGGAATGAAAAAATACAAAATAATTGTTTAAGATCACTTTTATCGAATTATATCTAAATAAAATGACACACAAAGACACAATTTAAATGCAGTAATTTCGTAAACTTTAATCTATACGATTCTAGTTGAATGACAATTACATTTTTTCAAAATTAGAAACATCCCCCACATAGGACTTTTTGGGTCATGTGTGTGTATTTTATTACCTTTTCCCAATTATTGGTTTTACTATAGACTTTATTATTATTATTACTATTTTATTGTTCAAGGATAAACCTTTTAATTTATTTCTTTGTTGTTGTTATCAGTATTACCAATATTAATAATAATAGTTAATGCTAATAATAATTACATTATATAATACGTTTGTGTGTGTATGTTTCGTTTATTTTGTTTAAATGTTCAAAATTTATTTGATGTTGGCTATTTGTCTAAAAAAATCATTGCAAATTTTTTATCTATTTATTTTTTGTTTTTTTCATGTACGTTATTACACAAATACACAATTAACCTTGAGTTAAATTTTGGAGCGGAACAAAACTGTTTTTGTTGTTGGATGTTGGTTGTTAATATATTGGTTTGTTCTGTGTGTGTGTGTTTTTTTTTTCTTCTAGAGACTACATTTAAATGTTCATCGGTTAAATACATAATTTCATTATAATTTGTTTTATGTTTTTCTATCTTTTTTGTTTGTTTTGTCATTATTATTATTATTATTTTTATATATAGGGTTTTGTAACGATTGTTTTGTGTTATTGTTTTCTTATTTTTGTCGTTTGTTTTTTCTTTTTCTTTAAATCTATGTTTTTCTTTACTATATCATTAATTAATTATTATATCATCTACTACATTTACAGAGTTCAATGGTATTTTTGTTTGTTGTTGTTATTATTATTATTATTACATTAATAATACTATACTACCCATTTTGTATTTAAATGTGTCTCATTGTTTGGTTTTAATCGGGTAACATATGGACGAAACTTACGGGAAACATGCCACGACGTGTTGGATCACCTTCTATCACACCTTCCATCCAGTTTTCATCATCGGTTCGTTCATTGAGAACGATAAGGACCTCGCCCTCTTTGAATTCCAATTCATCATCATTGTCGGCTGAACAATCGTATAAGGCACGACAACGGCGATGACCAGCCTGAAAAGAAACAAATTTAATAAGAAAATAAATAAGTAAAAATATTAATAAACCAGTGAGCGGAGCAGTATAGTCGGACGGGGCCGACCATATGATACCCTACACAACTACGACGGAACTCTAACTTTCTGCAGATCTATATCTATTTGCACCCTCTTAACCAATTAGGTCAATAGCACCTATTTCTTGCCATGACATCTTTTTCGAATTATGTTTTATATCATAATATCCATTTTTTTCATTTTACACAGAAAGGTCTTGGTTGATTTGACCCGCTGAATAGTGACAGATCATTACAAAAGCCCATCAAATTAGTTGACCAGATTCATTCTCCAGTGTAACATTCTGCTTATAATTGTGGCATACAGATCGACATGATCATCACCGCAAATTATAGGCGTTGTTCTTGACCATAAACGGAACCTCTTGGAAGCGATCAGCGCTATATTTCCGCCTTCTAGTGTGGTAATGGATTACTAAATAATATCTCAGTACGTAAGCACCTGTAAATGTTTAAATGTAACTCCCACATCCGAGTACATACGACAATATAATTGGTATCAATTTAAAGGTCAACCACTCGTCTTGGATATACTATCAACTTCTCGGGTCTATGTTCTTCAGGGGTAAATATATATGCCATAGAATACAAATTTTGTCATTTTTCACAGAAAAGTCAGGGTCCATTTGACCCGCTAAATATTGACCGATCTTTATCAAAACATGCATGCTTATTATCTGGCCCGATCCCCTTCGCGGTGTTTGGGGCATAATTGCGGCCTCTGGAGCGACCAGAAAGTTTTTAAGTCGGGGCTATGGCAAAAAAATGGATCTATATTGGAATTCCCTTAACCGGTTTTCACGAAACTTAACACACATCGTTCTAGACTTATTTCAGTACGCCATGCCAAATTTCGTGCAAATCGAAAGATATATAGGGACTTTCGTGCACCATTTACATTTAATCGGACGAAAATATATGGGAGGTATACCTAAATCTGAGCCGATTTTCACGAAACTTATCAAATATCATTCTAGTCTTAATTCAGTAAGCCATGTCAAATTTTGTGCAAATCGAAGGAAATATAGGGACTTTGGTGTATCATTTACATTAAATCGGACGAAAATATATATGGGAGCTATATCTAAATCTGATCCGACTTTCACGAAACTTAATACACAGCACTCTAGACATAAGTCAAAACACTATGCCAAACTTCGTGCTAATGGAAAGATATATAGGGACTTTGGTGCAGCTTTTTCATTAAATCGGACGAAAATATATATAGGATATTTTTCTAAATCGGAACCGATTTTCACGAAACTTTACACACATCATTCTAGACTTAATTCAGTACGCCATGCCAAATTTCGTGCAAATCGAAAGATATATAGGACCATTTACATTAAATCGGACGAAAATATATATATAGGGTTCATCCTTATCCCAATTAAGTGACCTGTGTCAAATTTCATCTAATTTGGATCATAAATGCGACATGTACTTTGTTTACAATTTAACATGGACAGACGAACGGACGGACGGACATGCATAAATCGACTTAGAAAGTGATTCTATGCATATTCCATTGAACCCTGTGTCTATCTAGTTTCCTTTTGCCTGTTACAAACATATATACAAAGACATGATACCCTATACCACAGCGTGATGAAGGGTATAAAATGCGGCTTTAAACTTCAAAATACCATATAATAGATCAGTACCTACAATTATATGGAGGCTATACCAAAACGTGGACCAATATTAAAATTTTGCTGTTAAAATGTCCATCAATCTCTAAATACCCGAAAATTCAGTTAATACCTTTAAAATGTCGAATATATGCGACTTTAGAAAAAATCGGACTGAATTAAAAGTTCATTTTGTTGTTTTAAAAAAATATCCTTTAGTCTTCCATACGAAGACATTTCGGTCTTTTAAAGGAAGTCCGTTTGGCATTTTATTAAAAAAAATGTTGGTATTCGATAAGAAAACGTTTCGGTTATCTAAAATACTCTTCGGTTACGAGTTGACCTCCTATAAGACCCTTCTGTGAGAAGACCCTTGGGGATTCTACAAAAAGTCTATTTGACTTCTATAAGAAGAATGTTCTTTTTTGGCCTATCAGGAAAAATGCAGTTAAAACCTTTAAAATATCGAAAATGGGGGATAATGGTATGTGCGGCTTTAGCAAAAATCGGACTGAAGTAAAAGGTTATTTAGTCGTGTTTACAATACCCTTTGGTCTTCAAAAGGAAGACATTCCTGTTATGTAAAGGTAGTTCGTTTGGTCTTCTATAAAAAAACCATTGGTCTTCTCCAAGAAAACATTTCGGTCCTCTATAAGACACGTATTTTTTAGTCTTCTAAAAGAAGATTCTTTGATCTTCTTTAAGAAACCGAAGAATATGAATGTCCTTAGTTGACCTATGAGGAATTCTCACCAGGTCTTTTATAAAAGATTTTTCGTCCTTCTATATGAATCTAAATCTAAAAGAAGAGTCATAGGTCTTCTATGGGAAGACACTTTGGATTCTATGAACAATATTGGGTCTGCTATAAGAAGACTGTGGTGTTTTTATAAGAAGATCTTTGGGTATATAAAAATTATATTCTATAAACATTTTTGGGTCTTCCATAAGAAAACTGGTGGACCATATGTAAGAAAACCTTTTGGATTTATATAAAAGAACATTTTGATAATCTAGATAAAGACTTTTTGGTCTTCTATGAGAAGAGCCTTTGAACTTCTATAAAATACAACCACTTGATCATGGTCCTTCTATATGAATCTAAATCTAATAGGAGACTCATAGGTCTTCTAAGAGAATACACATTGGATTCTATAAACAATTTTGGGCCTGATATAAGAAGACTGTGGGGTTTTTATAAGAAGATCTTTGGGTCTATATAAAAATTCTATTCTATAAACATTCTTGGGTCTTTTTGGGATTCTATAAACAATTTTGGGCCTGCTATAAGAAGACTGTGAGGCTTTTATAAGAAGATCTTTGGGTCTATATGAAAATTATATTCTATAAAAAATGTTTGATCTTCCACAAGAAAACTGGTGAAACCTCAGTAAGAAACCCCATTTGGACTTCTATAAGATTTTTTTTATCATCTAGATAAAGACTTTTTGGTCTTCTATGAGAAGAGGTTTTTTGGTTTTCTATGAGAAGAGCCTTTGGACTTCTATAAAATAAGACCACCTGATCCTGGTGCTTCTATATGAATCTAAATCCAATTCTATATGAATCTAATCTCCAATTCTATGAGAAGACACTTTGGATTCTATAAACAATTTTGGATTTGCTATAAGATGACTGTGGGGTTTTTATAAGAAGATATTTTGGTTTATTTAAAAAATCTATTCTATAAAAGAGAAGAAAATTCTTTGGACTTCTATAAGAATGCCTTTTGAACATCCAGAATTTCTATTAGAAGACTGTTTGATCTTCTCTATAAGAAGATAGTGTAGATCAGATTCAATTATAATACCTTCTAATTTTCGATTAGAAACATTTTTCGTCTTCAAATAGTGCTTTGAAAATAATTTCTTTCAATTCGAATATAAATCTTTTTCTTCTCTCTATTTAATTGTAAAGCATTGCATAGCGATTACACTTACATAATTATATTTATTTCCTCCTGTTGTTGCTGTCAGTACACTGCCACTTACACCGGAACCCCCACTGGAATTACCGCCACCAATACTGAGACCACCGCAACCGCCACCACCACTACTACAGGGGCCTTTAAGAAGATTATCTGGCGACGAATTAATACGATCGTTATCACTTGATGATAAATTCGAATCGGCTGAATGGTCTAGACCGCCACCAGAGGAATCCATATCGGTGTTCCATGACTCATATTCGGTGTAATTAATTGATTGATTCATAAGCTAAAAAGAAATGAAACAAGAAGAAGAAAAGAAAAACAAATGGAAGACAATTATAATTGGGTTGTAAAATCAATTGGACAATATCTACGATGATGATGACGACGAAGACCACGACGACAATTTATGGGGAAAAAAGAGTTGGGGTTTTTCGCCTTTTTCTTCGTTTCAAGATAAGATATATTTTGTTGTAAGGGTTAAAAATAAACGCAAGAAAATGCATACACATACATATAAACACACACACATACTAGGAACGCATACATTTAAAAATTAAACATAACTTGTTGATTGATGATACACAAATAATGATTATTAATAATTCTATTGTGTTGTATGTGTATGTTGTTGTTCATTTATTTACTATTGTTGTTGTTGATTGTTGTAACAGCGCACACAAGTTGCGCGTTGTATCTCAAATGAGGGTAGATTAACATTGTAAATAACAATCGGAACAATGTAATTTTATTTGTAATGTCGTTATTGTTTTTATTTTTTGTTTGTTGTTGTCGTTGTCTATGCACGCTTTTGTTTTTTTTCATTTTTTATGAATGAATTTTTGTTTCTGTGACATTGGTTGGAAGTGGGGGTGCTCTGAGGCGTGAGTTGATGATGTAGTATTTGTATGCCCCTGCATTGCTTTATAATGGCACCATAAATTGTACGATAAAAATTTGATAGTTTTGCGATAAATGCCATTAAATGTGCGATTGGCTATATAAATCTCAGAGATTTTCATGGTCAATAAATAAATGAACAAACAAATTGCCGGTTGGTATCAAAAAACTTACAATGTGTGAAAGTTATACACGTTTATGAAAACCTTGAAAAATTAATTCGATTGCAGAAAAAATGAAAAGGCAAAATACTTTTTGCATTTATACAATTGCCATTTTTAAAACTATATTGAAAAAAAGTATTTACACAAGTACGAAATCCTTGGGTCTTTCATAAAAATACATTTTGATGTATGGAGCCTTTGAACTTCTATAAAATAAAACCACTTGATCTTGGTCCTTCTATATGAATCTAAATCTAATAGAGGACTCATAGGTCTTCTATGAGAACACACTTTGGATTCTATAAAAAATTTCTATAAATTTTTAAGATCTTTTGGCCTATATAAAAATACTATTCTATAGAAATTATTGGGTCTTCCATAAGAAGACTGGGTGACCATTTGTAAGAAAACCCATTGGTATAACAAAATCCCTATATATCTTTCGATTTGCACGAAATTTGACATAGCGTACTAAATTGAATCTAGAATTATACTATTCTATATAAATTATGGGGTCTTCCATAAGAAGACTGGGTGACCATTTGGACGAAATTTGGCACAGCGCGTACTCAATTAAGTCTATAATGATGTGTGTTAAGTATCGTGAAAATCGGTTCAGGTTTATATAAAGCTTCCATATATATATATATAGCTTCCATATATATTTTACCAGTGATTATGCTAATAATCTATCACAGAATACAATTTTGGAGAAATATTTCATAAATGAATTAGTGATTTCTCGAATTATAAGTAGATTTTATGCAACTATATATGTGGTAAAAGTTCAGCACAAAGGAATTCTGCAAAAGAACATCAGTTTGTACTGATCAACAAATTGTCATAACAGTAAGAAAAAATTACCCATCTAAGAGTTTAACGGAAATTGTGACACGGTTATCGTTGGAAATAACCTGAAGATCAGACCGTGAACGAGCTATGGTAGCAGGCCTACATGCCCGAAAACTATCAAGTATGTACTTTTGTTTCCGAAAAGAATCGGAAAGAAAGACCGACTCAGTAGAGAAATATTATGCTCTCGAATGAACTAACGTTAAAAATTAAAGACTCAGAAATGAACAAATTACCATGAGAAAGTCCATAAATGAAAGGCTCATGCCCCAGCATTTCAGTGGTACTGGTGAGCATGGAGGTGGGTCAATAATGCTATAGGGCTGTTTTTCTTTTATGAGGGGTTCGATTTACAAGATTTATGATGTAATGGATCGAATGTTTATACTCGTTTATATACTGATACCCATGGTTTTGATTATAATATTATAGTATTTTCTGAAACTTGGCTTAAAATATCTGTGCTTAATATTAATAGTGAAATTCTAAGTTCAAAATATCAAATTTTTAGAAAAGATCGGATAAATAAAAGGGGTGGTTGTGTCCTCATCGCAGTAGACGCCAAATATTCCACGAATGTAATCCAATTAAATCATTTAACTGATATAGAATTCGTCGGCATATCCATTGAATTGGGTAAATTTAAACTATTCGTCACTTGTTCATATATTCCTCCTTCATCGCAGCTTGATATCCATAATCAGCATATATTAGCAATACAATCCATAATAAAATGAATGATTCGATTCCGAATATTAGTTCTTGGCGATCTTAATATGCCATCTGTGAAGTGGCTTTCATTGCCCGAGTCAGAAGCTCTTACTCCATTGACATCTGATATAAATTAAAATCAATTTACTTCTGAAATTATTAGCCGATTTTGTGACATTAATCTTCAACAAATAAATAATATAGAAAACTAGCGGGCCCGGCAAACGTTGTCTTGCCTAGCAATATTGTTGATGTATAATTTTCGGCGTTCTACTTATATGATAGTTGATATTGAAAATTTAACATTACATTAATAATATCAATATTGACCCAAGTATTCGGATAGCTCCCATATATATCCCTTAATAATTAGTATTTGGCTGAAATTTTTTATTCGCCCAAGCTTCCAAATATCCCTCATAGGAGTTGGTTCCAGTGTGTCAACCAAAGTGGTAGTAATGTTTTATTTGGTCAAAATTTCTCATAGAGTTGGTCTAAAGTATTAAAAAGGCGCCATACATATTTGAAGTTCTTAACCCTTTTTCCAACCTGAGTGTCTGTACATTATTTTTAAAGAGCATGGGCAACCTACTGTCACATAGTGTTGTAACATTGTTCCCATATAAATGTCCCGACCGATTTAAGGAATCTACATATTAGAAGATATGCAAAGTTAGATTTAAGTTTAAGTTTATTTGATATATTAAGGTATTTGCAATTTTATAGTCACAGGCTCAATACGAAAAAAACATAACTTGTTTTTTGATATATACTTAATGAATTTTTCACAGAAAATGGCATCGTATATTAGTTTTATCTGTGATACACATTTGTGGTATCGGATATATGCGAGGTGTTGTGTTTATGAGTTCAAAGGCATTGACCAACGATTAGGCATATAACCACCATATAATGGTACCACCTGATTTGATATTTCCCGTGCCTAGCAACATTTTAAGTACTTTAAAGAACAACGTCTCCTCATGGAACTATTACTATTCATATTTTAAGAAAAAATGATCTAGGGAATGGATCTTAGGATCAAAACTATTGCGAATATCTTCTGATTTTCATCCTTGCATTTGTAGCTGGAACCGTAGCGCTTCGCTGCCCCTACTAAAGACCAATAAAATCCTTCATTCCCATTACCATTACCTTTATGTCTATATTCTCATCTGATTTCCCATTGTAGTTTTAGTAATAGTTTAGTTTTGTTTTAGTAATATCCCTTTGATCAACTAAACATAATTTCTCAAGTAATGTACATATTTTGTTTTCAGGTCACCTATGATGATAACCCACCACAGATTTTATATTATTATAACTTTTAATTCATCATTCGCATTTCGCTTCTGTATATCTCCCAATTATTGCTGATGCATACTTTTATTGAAATTTTCAAAAATTTTCATTTCACACAAATTTTATTCCAATGTGTATGAATATGACAATGGAGAGATGGAAAGCAGTAGACGTTACTGACCTGATGGCTATAAAAATTACTGATAATAATGCACTGATAATAGGACAAAAAATTATGAGTTGAAAATTTCAGATTTTGACCAAATTTTACTTCCTGGTCATTTAAGATTGGATTTGTACTTATCTGAATATCATACATACTTTTATGAACATATTTATTCATGGTATTCAGATATGTGCATAGACAATTAATATTAGTTCAGAACTATGATTACGGTTGATGCTATAACTCTTCGTCATTTTGAAAGTTTATTTTGCATATCTTACTTCCATGTGATGGCATAACTGACTGCGAAAATTTCTGCAAAGTCTATTCAGCGAATTTTGTGTCTACAACCAAAATTGTTTCTTTTTTCCATGTATAGATAAATTAAATTCAATTGTGAGTAAATTCCGTCCATTGTATTACCCCAATTTTAATATGGATGATGCGTATTTGTAACCAATTTACTCAAGCAAATTTTAAAGTGGGAATTTGTAACGCCCCTTAGGATATAAACATAGAATACCTATTTCAGATTTGTAATTACTTTTGATGCCATAACTCCGCTTATGATTTTTCTACCAGGTAGCATGAGGTGCTGTAAAATTCTCAGCAAAATCTGTTGAGCGGTTTTTGACTAATCAAACAAAAAATGTTATTTTCTATGTATGTAAATTATTTAAGTGCATTTGCATTTTCCCCAATCGTACCCCGCTCATATTTGTATGCATGATGTGTATTTACACCTACGCTATTCAGACAAATTTTGAAGACTGTGTCTATTTGTATGCATGATGTGTATTTACACCTACGCTATTCAGACAAATTTTGAAGACTGTGTCTATTACCGTTATATAGATATACGCATATTACATGTACTGAAATTTCTAGGTGTGTTCCCTATTTAGGCTATAACTCTGCATCCACGCGGAATTTTAGAAGTTTATATATCCTTTGTTACTTTCATGACATACTGTGTAAATCTAATTAACACCTGTTCAGCGGTTTTTGCGTCTATTGGTAGCATACAAACAAACATTTTTTTCTATTGTATATACATATGTATGTAGATAGTTTTTTTGAAGCCAATGACAATCCAATTAAATGTAGAAAATTAAAATATTTTGATAATTTTCCATAATTGACAATTTCTTAAAGATATACACTGCCCATTTTCGCCCCAAATATGTCCAA